GTGTGTCTGTAAATATAGACCAAGCAAACAGGAAATCACTGCAGGGAACAACAGGTGGCATAGTGATGGGTACACTTCCTCCAACGAGCAAACACATACTGGTGTCTTCCTGTCTCTAACTGAAGGATAATGATAGAAATTTAACATTTTGAGCTGATTCAAAGTCACATGCAGTGTTTAAAGCAGTTTTAAAGGAATAATTCAACATTTTAGGATCATTTTCTGCATGTTTGCTCTCTTAGAACACATGGAAGTCATACTGAGCTTTGGTCAGTCAGTTTTTAGTCATACATGACGACTGTGCTTGATCTAATACCAAACACTATGATGGTTGATGACAGTAGAAACTGCAACACAAGCTGAGTGGAAAAGACAACAGAGGTCCCAACAGATCATCGATTACAAAGCAAAAAAAATAACAGATTTATTGATAACAAAGAAATTAATGCACATTTTTTATTTGCAACTAATTTGCTCACTCATTGACTGTTAATACAGTGTCCTGTCCATGTGCACAGACTGATCACCAGAACCAGCTTTTTAAATATAAGCAACAGTTTGAAGCCATTTACTCTGAGAAACGCATCTCAGAGGAGGACGTTTGTAACTCTTCCCTCAACGAATGTTTTCTGTAACACATTTTTTTTTTGTAATCGCTAAAAAGATTTAAAAAAAATTCTTAAACATGAAATGTATTCCCTGGAAACAATGTCCAGCCCGCTTCTCCGATGTTGTTAATAAAAACTAAAGTAAAGATTAACTGGACAATAAACAAACACTCACAAACTGAGCACCGAGCAGCAGTGAAACTTGAACAAGACACAAATCAGAAACAGAACGTGTTTCGCTCACAGCGACCAGCATGCTTCAAAAAATGCAAATGTAGGTGAAAGGTCCAGCTTGCATTGCACTTTTCACACCTTGACTAGCATTTAGTGGAGTAGTGGTCAGGTGCATGCCGGCAAGTTAGCATCTTGCACGCAAACTTCAGGTGACCACAGAAGGCTGCTAGCTAACCAAACCAAGTCTTTTCCTGACCCAAACCCAAAAGTTAGTTTGCAAACAACAACCGGTGTAAACCGTACACATAAAGTCCACAATCTGCATTCACAAGCTACTAAAACAGCTGTTCCTACTCAGTTGTTCATAAACACAAATTGTATAATCAGTCAACTGAGGTGAAATTTTAAAAAATTCAACATGAAATTAATTTTCAACCAAAGCTAATGTCAACTCAGATAGGTGAGGCTGTCTGCTGTGGCGACCCCTTGTAACATGAGTGTAAGTGAAAGAAGCTTTAATGAAAGAAATCTAGGCTTTTAATGCTGAAAAGGAAAGATTGATTTTCAACATAAAATCTGCTGTTAGTAAGAAACACATCTCAGGAGGTGAGAAATTGAAACTTTGCTGTGAAATCCTGTGTTCTTAGCGGCGTCTCACCACTCTGTCCACAGAAGCCGAATAAAACTGTACCTTTTTCCATTGTTTTGTTTTTCTTCTTTGAAATTAAAGTTGTAATACGTGTTTCAGATGCTGTGGGTCACACAGACGGAGACCCGGAGTCCGAGCGTGAGAGAGAGGGTCTGTTCACCCTCCACCAGCGGCGCGGCGCCATAAAGCAGGCCAAAGTTCACGTGGTCAAGTGTCACGAGTTTAGCGCGACGTTCTTTCCTCAGCCAACCTTCTGCTCTGTATGCAAAGAGTTTGTTTGGTATGGAAAAGACCAAGAAGTCACAAATCTTCACATTAGTCTTGTTTTTTTCCCAATCGTATCAGTCATTTCATCTCTCTTTCTTTCCACTGCAGGGGTCTTAACAAGCAGGGTTACCAGTGCAGACGTGAGTGTCGGTTCATTGTCCTGTAATCTACCAATTAGCCTTCGTAACTCTTCCTCACGTGGTTATTCTCTGTCTTTTAGAGTGCAATGCAGCAATCCACAAAAAATGCATAGACAAAGTTATCGCCAAATGCACTGGTTCAGCCATAAACAGCAAGGAAACAATGGTGAGTGTCTGCTTCACATGATTTGCTTCATGACGCTGCACATCTCTTCCAGTCCGACAGAAATTCCACAAGTGGTGACACAGAGCGAAGTGTGTGAGCTGATGGTTCTGATGCTTACTAATGAAAGAGTTGCTTTGTGCCAAGGTATCACCACACCAGGCGTTCCGGTCTCATGTCATCTTCTTCCCCTCGTTTCACTTCTCCTCAGCTCCATGTCAGCGAGAGTTCATGTGTACGAAAGCATGAGAGAATTTAACGCCAATAAATAAATCTCGCCGTTTACATATGAGAGGTGTTTGGTTACTGACGCCTTCCGTGTCAATCTGTGTGCGATGTGTTTTTAGATCCACAAGGAGCGCTTCAAGATCGACATGCCTCACAGGTTTAAAGTCTACAACTACAAAAGTCCCACCTTCTGCGAGCACTGCGGGACTCTGCTGTGGGGGCTCGCCAAGCAGGGGCTCAAATGTGAGGGTGAGAGGCGGGAGTTTTTTGTTTTGGTTTGTTTGTTTTGTGTGATTTTATACTTTTTTTTTTTATGTCTGCAGGGTAAGACAAAACACAGCAGTGACATCACAGACATAAAGCCACAAATACAGTGTCATAACAGAAATTTTTCATAACGCAACACTACGCCATTAAATTTATTTCTAGCTCAGTTTAGGAACTGAAAGGTCCTGGTTTAAGAGTTAAGGAAAACTGATGCTGGCGTACTGTTAAAGACTAAGACTGATGGTCGTTTAAGAGTAGAGCCTCTACTCCTCCACATCAAAAGGAGCCAGTTGAGGTGGTTCAAGTGTCTGGCCAGGGTGCCTCCTGTTCCCCTCCTACGTGAGGCGTTTCAGGAATGTTATACTGGGAAGAGACCCTGCAGCAATCCAGGACACGGTCAGGCTGGTTTGGGAATGTGTCAGTATCTCCCCCTGGAAGAATTTAAGGCAGCCTGGACTTGGTTGCATGGATGGATCATTCAAAATAAAGCACTATAGCTCAGCTGAGTCTAGAGGACTCATTGCTCTGGCAACACCCTGCTCCAGTATCCTAATGGTACGATCTCGGTCGGGTTGGCCCAGTCATGGCATTCTTACAGATGTCATTTCCTCCAAACTTCTGGTGCTTCGTTATACAGTTGAGTGTGTTTGACAGAGGAGTGGTTATGTGGGATTAGTTGGATGAAGGTATTTTGACTTCTTTACCAAAAATTGTGTTTTCAGACACAAGACTAAGTGACAAAAAGCAAGTTAAAATGGCACAGTTTTGACTGAAGTTACAAGCTCTGTGGTATTCAGTCTTTTAATTCTTCACTCTAAAATTAGTCCCGTTTTTCTGGGAGCTGCCTTTCAGCACAGTTGATCAGATACCGCCGAGCAGCAGGGAAACCCCTTTGCCAAAAGATTAAATGTTCTAGACAACATTATGCAGATATCTGTGGGTTTTAAATGGCTTACGCTGCATTGCAAATGTTTCCTTATTTTGGACTTTTAAGGCCCGAATCATCGATTTTTAGGAAGAAAGAGTCATTCGTCAAAGAATTTTGCAGCAGTGGCTTTCACAGGTTACCACGAAAGGGTTTCTTGGTTCGGCACAGCTATATTACTCCTTCACAACACCATCAACACACTCTGAAACACATGCAGCAAGCAAACTATGGAGCTCCCTTACCTTGATCTGAAAAATTCAACTTGACAAAATTTGATAAAACATGGTTTTCACCACATAGATATGATCATTTAATCCACAGCATTACTCAATATATTTCCAGTAGCTGAGACAACAGTGGGCGTTCAAACCTTTCCCAGCATAAATATGCGCTGCATGTGTTGGCCTGTTGAACAGAAACACAGCGCAGCTGCCACAGCAGGTGCAAAGTATAAAGTTCTCCCTGTGAAATTAATCATATTTCCAGTACAAGCCAGCTGACTGAGGGGTTAGGAATGGGAAACATTATTATTGTAGATGTGTGAGAGTTTGCTAAGAAACAGCACAGTTATATAAGGAACATGTGCAAACATTAAAGAACGTGTGACATGAAAAAAAGGTATCAAGTGAAAAAGAAATTGGACTCTTTAGCAACATTTTTTACATATAAGTGCTTTTTTCTGTCATTGTCATTATAAATTTTAATATTGCCCCATTCGAAGTAAAAGCTGATACATTACCTTTTGCATAACTAATAACAGTGTAAATATTGCCATCTTGCACTGCTTTAAATGTTCTTTATGTGTTCAACTGAGTTTACATTGTGTTTGATGTTGTACAGAATGCAGCATGAACGTCCACCATAAATGCCAAAAGAAAGTGGCTAACCTCTGCGGGGTCAACCAGAAACTGATGGCTGAAGCTCTGGCAGTCATCGAGAGCAAGCAGCAGGTGAGACAAACAAACCTTCGGTACATGAAGCTGTGCAGTCTTTCAGAAATGCTTTCAACCAGTTCAATTGTTTCTTCGTTTTTATGCTTCTTTTAGTGACTTAAACACCTCTTAAAAGGGACGTGTTCTCCTCAGTTCCAGCTGAGTAACTTTGCATGATTAAATAATCTGATGAAATAATCTGGGGGTGACTGTAGCTCAGGAGGTAGAGCAGGTTACCCTACTGAACGGAAGGTCGATGGTTCGATCCCTGGCTCCTCCTTTACCATTTACCAATCCCAATTTATCTGATACTGAGTTTTGGTGATGCACCTTAATTCATCCTTGATTAGAAGTTTTAACTTCTCCTCCTTTAAACCAACTTTCTGATTGCTCCTTGCAAAGAGAAGACTTGAATAGCACGAGATATTCCATCTCTGTGACATCATGCACCTCTAACAGGAAGACTTCATTATATGAAACTTTGTTTAATGAGAATATCTAACATAAGACTGTGTAACACTAGATAACATAAGAAAAAGTAAAGCAAATAAGAGAACATAATTGTCCCCTTTAATACTAGTAATTAAGGAATATTTTACTGTGGAAAACTTCATTTTGAAACTGGATCTACCTTTTGCTTTAAGGCGAGAAGTACCAGAGACAGTGACATTATTGGTCGGGAAGGTCCAGTAAGTGTTGCCCAGCCGGGAGTGGTGCGAGCACCATCCGGGCTAGTTATGGGTTTACCAGCCACAGCTACACCTGCAAGCAAAGGTATGCAACTTCTAAAATGTTCCTTTCCGTTAGGCAGGGATACATAGTGCATACTTTATGTCATTTGTGTTTCTCAACCTGCTTCTTGTAGCAGATTATCAGGGTGTTTCATGGGAGGGACCAGGAGATGTCAGCAGGTCGGTCAGCGAGGTGCTTCCAGAAGAGCCTCTGTACGCTGTCCCGAGGAAAGATCACCAACCCAAATTTACCATCGACGACTTCACCCTGCACAAGATGCTCGGGAAAGGCAGCTTTGGCAAGGTAGCAGAGGCGACCTGATTCAAAAGAGGAAAAGTAAAGCACGGAGCAGAGCATGCATGAAGATGTGGCATCTTTGTCATGTTACTTTATATATCAACATATTAACAAGAGCATTCAAAGTTGCACAACTCCCCCGAAGGGCAAGGGCTGTAGTAAAACCTTTTATTACAACATGCAGATGTCTGATCTTTGACCTATGACCTTGGAGCATTACATACTAAAATGGTGTATTATCTTTACCCATATAATTGGAGCAGAATTTGCTGAAATCATCTACAAGCGTGAGGTTTTAAGATATTTTGGTGCAGTGTGTGAATTTGTGAACTTTATGGCATTATTGTGACATCATAGGGCGTCGTATTAAAATGTAAAATTTGTTTTACAGCTCTCCACATGTTCTTTCATATGATATATTACTTGACATGATTTAAAGTTTTCACTGACATTCACATTTGGTGTGATCTTGACCTTTTCATCAAAACTGAATGTGCCCGAGCTGTTTTTGGTATCTACCATCACAAAAAAATTAAACATGATATCTTGAAAACTGTGGGTGCTTAACTGCTAACAAAGAGACAAACAAACAGAAGTGATTACACACTCCCTTCCCTTAAAAACTGCATGCAACAAAAACTAATTATTGCCCTTTTCTTAGTGGAATCTCTATAAGAACACAGTGGGGGGGGCGTTTTCTGCAGATGTGTCAAAGCATCATATTTTAGTCATTCTTGCCAGCAGCTTCACACAGCACAGAGGGCTTTACACAGCACTCTGAGGCTTGTGGTCAAATGTGTTGTGCAGCCAGTTTCCACTGAAAACCACCTACTTCTTGTTACTTCAAAGTCTTGCAACACAAAGAGCTAGCTATGGTAAATGACTGGGCAACAGGCTACAACTCTATATGTCCAAACTAAACCTGTTTTTTAAAGCTTTTTATTTGTCCTTCGTCTTCTCCAGGTGTTTCTAGCAGAGCTGAAAAGGAGCGGTGAATTTTTTGCAGTAAAAGCTCTAAAGAAAGACGTGGTGCTGATGGATGATGATGTTGAGTGCACCATGGTAGAGAGGAGGGTTTTGTCTCTAGCCTGGGAAAATCCCTTCCTTACACATCTTTACTGCACCTTCCAAACTAAGGTGATGACCCATGTACACTTGCACAGTCATTGCATGCAAGTAGGTAGCCACTGAAAATAATTCTCTGAAAACAAATATAGCCCTGACCTCTGTGTTTTCGCATCCAGGAAAACCTGTTCTTCGTCATGGAGTATCTGAATGGAGGGGATCTTATGTTCCACATCCAAAACTGCCACAAGTTTGACTTGCACAGAGCCACGTGAGTCAAAAGACGCAGCTCTCACAGTGACACACGACTGTAGTTTTGCACTGTTTGGGTCTGGATGTAACCGCCAGGTTTGAAAAGTGCCTTCACTGCAGATGTGCCTTTAACCTGCATGAGTAATCATTACCAGCATGGAGGCAAAAAAAACATCCATATACCTCAGTAAACTATTTTCTAATTGAGTTTTTGGTTTCCATCACTAGTTTCACATCATATTTAATAGAAAAATGACACTCATGCAAATACCCAATGCAGACTAAATGTTCTGCTTCTGACATGCCTGTGGTGTGACTTGATGCAGGACTGAGACATGCGTCAGACAAACATCTGGTGTACTTCAGTGGTTAGAGTGCGTCTAACCACTGAAGTACAAGTAACCACTTGGGATTGAGAATTTGCTACCAAATGGCCGTGCGTTGTCCTTGGTTTCTTGGTCTTGTTTTCTTGTTCGTCACATTAGGTTTTAATAGATCTAATCTCTATAAACATATTATCTGCAGTTATCTATAGATTGCCAGTGGTTTTCATTTTTAGTGCAAATTCTACATTTTAGCATCCTTTAGTTACACGTGGGTAAATAGTCTGTGTAGAGAGCAAATAAAGGGGCTTACATATATACAATCTGGAAGCCACCGGTTATTTTTTTTTTTAATCTATCTGCATTAGTAAAGCATGGCTATCAGTCCTGGAAAAATGACTACCCCAGAAGCTAAGGCCCCCCTCAGGCTTCAAACTTACAGTCTCTTATGGGGATTTTTATGGTGCTTATGCTAATTTCTATATACAGTCGACATGTGATCCTTATTTCTGTGACATAATTGTCTTTTAAGTTTGTTGATTTTTTTGGTTTGTCTATTTCAGAATTTCAACTAGATTGACCTAGTTTGGCCTAAATCTGATCACTCCTGTGAATTTTATCCTCTCTTCTCACATACATCTGTGTCTCCTTACAGCTTCTATGCAGCTGAGATCATCTGTGGGCTCCAGTTTCTGCACTCTAAAGGAATTATTTACAGGTAGGCGCTCAGTGAGAGCCAGAAACAGGACTGGAATTCATGACATGTAATATATAGTCCAAGAGGAATCATTTTCTTGCACCTCTGCAGAGATCTGAAACTGGACAACGTGCTGCTGGACTTAGATGGTCATATAAAGATAGCAGACTTTGGCATGTGTAAGGAGAACATGCAGGATGACGTACGGACCTCCACCTTCTGCGGGACCCCAGACTACATCGCCCCAGAGGTGACATCTTTTGCATGCTGTAGTAATGTAAATGTTGTAATAAACTGGTATCCTTTTGATTAAAAGGATCAATCAACAACAGCTGGCCACCAAGTGATACGCATAAAGATCTAAATTCTAGAGACGTCTCAAAGAGGGCTTTTGATGCTAGGTTTGTACATTTATATTTGGACTCTGTTAGAGTAGCTTTTCTTATACAGGCTATTGTGCAGCCAATGAGTGAAATAAGCCTCTAAACTGCCCCTTTAAAATAACAAGTTAAACCACATTTTAAAATATTAAAGAGTAGAAAAAACTGTAAGCTGATAATCTAGGACAGAGGTGTCAAACATATGGCCCCAGGGACCAGAATCAGCCACAAAAAGATTAAATCCAGCTCACTAGACAGTTTCGGAAAATGTGAATGAGCACATGCATTTTGGACTTTTAACAGTATTTGCAAGTTTTACAGATTTCCTGCTGATAAAGCCCCCCCCCCCCCACTTCTCCAGCGTAACAAAGCAATAGATCAACAAAAATAGCATTTTTACCACAATCATCTTATTATTATTATTTTTTTATTACTATTATTATTATTACAGGATATTCTGGGCAGTGAGCTACTTTTTCTGCAGTTTTACACATTATTTAATTACAAATCAGTCCCAAAAAGTCGTGCTGACAGATACTGCAGCATTTCTCTGTCATATAGAAAAAACTGAGATATACTAAAATTACACTTCTTTTTTATATACAAAGATATCTAAGGCAATTAGTGTGTGGTTAGACTTATTTACACAGACAGAAAAGGGGAGTTTCCTTGGTCTAGCCTGCTTAAAGATCACAGTTGGCTGTCTGTGACCAAGGACGTAAAATTAGTTTGACATCTAGAGCAATCTGAAACCCAAGATCTGACTGATAAGGACTTATTTTCAAACGTTATTGACCTCATTCTTTAAAACTCTGGCCATTTAAATGTGAACATCTGCCACTGTAACAGTACGCGCATGAGAGATAATAAGAAAAACCCACACTTTAACTTGTTCATTTTACCAGTTTGTGTGATCTTTATGTATCAGATCCTGCTGGGTCAGAAGTACAACAGCTCTGTGGACTGGTGGTCATTCGGAGTGCTGCTGTACGAGATGCTGATCGGTCAGTCTCCGTTCCACGGCCGCGATGAAGAGGAGCTGTTTCAGTCCATACGGACAGACACCCCCATTTATCCCAACTGGCTCAGCAAAGCTGCAAAGGACATACTCATCAAGGTCAGACAAGTGCTTCAGTGGCCAGTTTAAATAAGATCAAGCAGGAAGAAAAGAAAGCAAGGATCTGGTCTTTAAATTGATGAAACTGATTCTTACTGTTTCCTACGGAGCCCTGCAGGGGACATGGGAGAAAAAAAATTAAGACGGACTTTTGCGAGATCTCGCAAAAGTTTTGCGAGATCTCGCAAAACAAACTCGGGATCTCGCAAAAGTTTTGCGAGATCTCGCAAAACTTTTTAGCTGCATTCTTTGGATGCCGGCTTGAAGCCGACCGGGAGGTTGAGGCACGATGTGCCGGGAAAGCGGTGTTCCTCCCGGCTGTAGTGAGTCTCGACCTCCCGTTAGCTTCGAGCTAACGGGAAGAATGCGGCTAAAACTTTTGCGAGATCCCGAGTTTGTTTTGCGAGATATCGCAAAACTTTTGCGAGATCCCGAGATAGTTTTGCGAGATCTCGCAAAAGTCCATCTTAATTTTTTTTTCTCCCATGTCCCCTGCGGGGCTCCGTAGTTTCCTGTATGTTCATTAAATGCATACATATAGCTCTCGGGGCCCTATGGCTAAACCTCTGTGCGTTTGTGCCTCAGCTGTTTGTGAGGGAACCTGAGGAGCGGCTGGGAACCAAAGGCAACATCAGACATCACAGTTTCTTCAGCAGCACAGACTGGAACGCCTTAGAGCAACGGCAGGTGCCGGCACCCTTCACACCAACTATAGTAAGTACAACAGGGAACCACTTACTCAACATATCCACTAATTTTCTCAGTTAAAAACTGGTAGCTAGTAAAAGCTGTTTGGCTGATACGGCTGGCGGGTGAAAGTAAATATCATCTAGAAAGTTGTCGACACAGTAATTGACTATAGTGGCTATTTTCAAACTTCAGACTGCTGTGCGTGTTTGCAGACTGGAGTCTGCATCGAGAGCCTTAGTGTCCTTACTTTAAGTTTGTTCGCAGCCCATTTGGGGACCACGGTCCAGCCTTTGAAAATCACTGTACTGCAGTATTTACTTGTTAATCTACTCGCTGGTGTATGAAATATTGCATGTAATTAAATATTTGCCCTTCATCCTCGCAGACCTCACCCAGCGACTGCAGTAATTTCGACAAAGAGTTTATCAACGAGAAGCCCAGACTATCGTGTGCTGACCGCACGCTTATCAACAGCGTAGACCAGACGATGTTCAGAAACTTCTCCTTCGTTAATCCTGGCATGGTTCGGATCGCAGCACGCTGACCACCGGACAAAAAATGGCTACAATCTACAAACAGGCTGCTCAGTCACAACCAGCAGTGACTGTAACTGGAACCTACTGTAGAACCCGAATGTGGCAAAACTCACATACATGATGATGCTAACCACTAAAGGGGTATAAACCGATACAACCAAACTGTGACCGGATCTTTAACTTTCACACAAATACCTTTAAAATGTACCTGTAGTCAACTTTGATACTTTAGAGTTTAGTTGACTAAAGGCATACATTTTCTTACAGTATTATTCTAACAGCATGCAGTTGGTTTGGTTTTATTCTGTCATAAAACTATTCACACATTGCACACTTGTGCAAATATGTGCAAATATTCAAAAAAAAAAAAAAAGAAAGAAAGAGAGAAAGTGTGCATCTTCCATGTCTCGAGGCATGTACTGTGAAGCTAGATTTGGGACTTAGCGAGGTAACTTCAGGCTTAAGTCTAGTTTATATGGAGTCAGGAAGCCAGTTCTCATCTTACCAAAGCCAGATGATACAAACCTAACCTGCTCCGGAGCATGTTACATTTGGGACTCATCACTTCCTGTAAAAAAGCACCACTATTTCTGGAAGAGCCCTCGTACTAATTATTTTTACTCATATTTCTTGTCTTTCCACGACGAGCATCAATAAGAAAACCAGATCTTGAGGAACAATTTCATTCCTGCTTTTTTCTGCAAGCAATAGCGCACTAAATCCCTGTACTTACCGGCAGCTAAAGCTCGCTGAGGGAAAAATATGTAATCTCCAACCAACTGGGGAGGGGCTGCTTTGTGAATTTGGTTTCAAAGGTGTTGGATCAGAAATCTCCCTCTCGTTCTTTGTTCATCCGTAGTTTGCACTGAAGATGCTAACTTGTCTCCAAACGCTCAATGAGTGACATTGCACCTTAAACGTGTAACTTTTACTTTGAAGCAGAACTGTTTATATCACCCTTTTCAGAGAGTTTGTAGGCAAGTTGGTGTCCTTTATGCTAACTGGCAACAGTAATTACAAGGTTTTTAGTGCAACACCCTGTACCTCATTGCAACCACTTTCACCAGCCAGCAACTTCCAGCAAACCATCGCCAACTGGTCAGGGAATACATTTTTACCGAGTGACCTGTGGTTGCCGTGGGTGATGCTGACTGACCTCTAAGCCTGCCGGACTGAGGCCTAATTAATTCAGTCCGTTGGCCAGTAGACTGGGTTTATTAACCTTCAAGTGATTGTAAAGTCCAGCCGGATATTTATGTGCCATTGAGATTTTTTTAAATCTAAAAAATGTGTCCTACCGTGAATCATCTTCTCCTACAATTTTTCATATTTGTTTTTTTTCCCCAACCTGAAATGGTAAGGATGAAAGTTGTATGGAAATATGTTTTGTTTAAAAAAACAAAACAAAAACATTATAGGCTTAATTTTATTGTAATTTTCAACTTTTAATTACTGCACGGTGATGTTTTGCCAACAGACCTAGAGCAGCAAGATTAACATCTTTTTGCACACAAATTATTTCATAATTAATTACATTGGAACATTTTAATACATCTATTGTTGGTAACAGAAACAGGGTAAATAGTAATAAGTAGAGCCTTTAACTCTCCAGACTTTTCTAACAGTATATTTTATTCTTCCTTAATAAATGGAAGAGTAAAAAAATAAATAAATGGAGTTTTGCTGCTGGTATAATGATCTTTTCAACTTTTTCAAAGTGGTAGATCTGTCCACATGTGTCATTGGTCATATGCTGTCCTGTGAAGATGCTAATAGCTACCTTGGGAAACCCTGAGTGGGCTTATCCAGTTTATAATTACCTTCGATTGCAGTGTTATTGTAAATGAAGACAGATACGGTAAGCTGAAGTTATTCGGTAGCACAGGCCTCCTACTTAATGGGCTGTGTGTTTAAATAGAAAATGTGCTTGTAGTGATTTTATGGTGCCTCAGAATAGTTTAATGAAGTTAACGTCTTCAAGTAAAGTAAACTGAGAAAGTCGCTTTAACCAAATGGAAACTTAGTTTTCTTGTCCTGTTCCTTTTTATTTTTTATTTTATTGTCTTTTTTTTTTCTTATGTAAATAAATTATATAGTCCATCTGATATGCTGTGTTGTTACTTGGTTGTAGATCTGTTAATGTACTGAGGTTTAATAACTGGGTTATTGTTTACATGTGTTTTCCTGTTGTATCTCAGGAGTTTTGTTTTAATGATGAGCTACTCCCTGCATACTGTAGTTTTGATGTTCTCCTCATTGTGAATTCTGTTCATTAAAGTGTGCACATTGTGGGCTTTTTTTTTTTTCAATGTGTTTGTTTCGGTGAGGGACAACATGAAAACTGCTCGGTCGTGTAGCGTTACATCAGAATGACAGAGACCAGAGGTGGAGGTGTTAACAAAAATAGCCATCTCAGTTTTTCCACTTAATTTGAAACTTTACCATCTTTTCCACTGTTACAGACATTTACTCAACTGATGGCTGAATTATTTTAGCACTCAGTGTTAAATATAGACTACCTAAGAAAGAATGTCAGAGGCTCTTTTTTTCCATTAAGGTGCTACGGATGGCCCAGATGTAGGACTGACAGCCAAACAAATAATCGAAAACAAACCTTTAATTAAGTGTAGTAGTCCGAGTGAAACAACATCCAAACTTTAGAATATGTTACTAAACAGACAAGGAACAGACAGACACTGACAAAAACTGAAGGAACACTAAAGCTTTAAATACACATGAAGTGATAGAAAACACCAGGGAAACACGACACAGCTGAAACTAATTAGGACAAGACAAGGAAGCAAAACTAAATGCAAGGCACAAAAGACAACTATTAAAATAAAGCAGGAAATGAAGAACAACCACACTGAAACAAGTATTCACGACGCATACATGAACTGAACAAAGGGGAAAAGACAGACGAATAACGCCACAAATGTAAAACATGACAAGTACTAAAGCCTCATAATGCTCAGGAATGAATGAAAACCAAAAATCCAAATCATAAACAACACAAAGAAGGAAATACAAAACAAGGATTAAATCTGGGAACCGTGACATAATGTTAACATGTTGAGAAAAGTGATAGTACTAATATTTATTATCACACTGTTTACCTGCAAAAACAGGAAAATATCCTTCACATTAAAACAAACTTAGGATTCCACCAATGCATCACCAGGCAAGCCCAAAGTTTGACATGACTTTCGAACTTATAGCTTTACTTTCCATTTTTAAACTTTATTCCCAAAATTTTGGCTTTACCCTCAAAGAAAAGTATTTTAATTTTTCTTCAAAATTTCCACTTTAGACTTTATCACTTTGTCATGGTACTGACAAAGCTGGCCGGTGACCCAGCGTTTTGTGTTTCATTTTAGTAACATCTTCTGTTTTATGCCGATTCTTATTTTGTATTAGTTCTTAGAGTTTTAGTGTTCTCCCTTCTGTGCTTTGTTCGTGTCTCTGAGTTTGTTTGTAAAACTGTTTGTGAGTTTCCTGTTTTACTTTGAAGGTCTGTGTCTCGTCGTGTTTAATTGGGTTCAGCTGTGTTCCCCTCTGGTGTGTGATTCCCTCATTACCTTGTGTGTATTTATAGTGTGTGCCTGCCTGTGTTCCTCGTCGGTTCGTCTGTGTAACTTGGTGACAGTCCGTCTCTCTGGTCTTCAGTCTCTACTCCTCATCCCCTGTGTTACCTCCATATGTTTTTCCCAGCGTTTTATTCTGTGAGTTATGGTTTTGGGTTTTGTTTGTTACTAGCTTTCCCAGTTTAGTTTATGTCTAGCTTGTTCCTCATTTCCTGTTTGCCACTTGCCACACTGTAAATAAATTTCACTCGCATTACCGCCGCTGTCTGCAACTTGGGTCCTCCTTCAAACTGCTGCCCGAGCCTGAAATTTTTACTACCGACGCCTAACATTCCAGGTTCCTCAATTTTTAAAAATATTTAAAATAAAATGAAAATGACAAAGGAAAAAAAACATTCGGATATTTTGTTAAACTCAATATTCTCAAAATGTAAAATGATTTTTTTCCTGCTATATACAATACTCCAAACATACCAGCGTACTGCTGCTTTAACAATTATGGATTTGAGATCCCTGATGCCAATCTTGGTTTGAATATATTGACAAATAATCTGAATATGCATGAGTAACACAACATTTGGGAGGGACAGGGTTAAGATTTACACTGACCTTGCAAAAAGATTGGGTTTTTGTTTACTTGGCAACATGAAGGGGCTCTGTCTGCTCAGGGAGGATGACACTATTCTACATGGGATACAAGCAATATTTGGACTGGGGTCAGGTCGCCCTCTGCTGGAAAACCAATCACATTAGGGATGCTCCTGAAAAAGAAATTCCCACGTGATTACATAAAGAAGAGAAGAAAATAGAAGAACTCATACTAATCAATTTATTCAGAATAAGAAAATAGAAGAGTTGTTGTTTGTGTGTAAGAACCAATTAAAAGTGTTTATCACATTTTTTAGTAAGTCACTGATTACTAAAAGAAAAACTAATCATAAGAGCAAAGAAAGACATTTTGATGCTAGTAGTTTAGCTATGGATATGGGTCAGTTATTGGGTTTGTTTTACTGTATTTAGCTGTATTTTTTCTCTGATTTTTGAGAATATGAGTTTGAGTTGGGGGTTAGTTTTATGGGTTTTGCTTGTTTCCTTGTAAGTGATCATACATACCTGTCAAAAGTGTCACTATTTATTGCTCGTGATGCATGTTTATATGCAAGTCAGCCTAAATAACACGGATAATTTTGTAGGTCAGAATACCACAAAACCCATGTCTTACCCAATTTGCTTGTTTAGAACTTACCATTAAACGGTGGTTGTTTTTGAGGGCTGCTGGCTGCCAAATATCTTAGCTCTGACGTGTCAAACTTATTTTAGTTTGTTTTTACGCACTGCGTCAGAGTTTAAAACAAAACAAAACATAGGGACAAAACATAGGAACAGTATCTGTTTTTACATGTGCATTACAATTTATAGTAGCTCTACAAAGATAAAACTGTCACATAGAGAAATGAATATTTTTGCTTTGCATTATTTATGATTAAAACAACTTCTCAAGACCTGGAAATACATGTATTTATTAATGCTGAAGCTTTTTGGCATCCAGTTTTGACCTCATGTCACATGTTTAACATCTGTGTCTTACATCTTTGGCAAACAGTTAACAGGTTGCTAAGGATGGCTAAGACAGCACATGAAGAACATATCTACGAGTCCCAAGAAGCCACATGAACCACTTCTTTAAAAAGATAATGTATTTATTATTATTTATTAATTTGACAACAAATGTGTCTTACTGCTTCCCCAGTAAGACTGACGTCTTGACTGCTCATGTAAGAGGTTGTTATCAGGCTGGAGCCAATCATCTACAACTATTTTTTCACACCAGTCATAGCCAGATATTTGCATGTGACAGAGACAGAAATACAGAACAAAAAATTTCTTTTTTGACACACACCAATATAGATGACATGATTACCTCCAATCATTGTCCTGAATCACATTTTATTTTAAAATGACCTTTCATTTTAGTGCAAAAGTCTAAAATATATCTAATATATGTTCCAATATCTGTGATAGAATAGCTATATATTTACAGACACTTTTT